TAGAACCGGGTCTTGGGCGAGATAAGTGTATGCTTTAACCACGAGGCTAACCCCACCTCCACCATTACACACACCACATACAAAGGTATACATGAAGTTAATGTGCACAGATGTTTTGAACTATCTTGTCGTACTCCAGGTATAATGCCATATTGTAACATATGCTATATTTGGGAATACACTTTCTTGGTAACATACAGATTCTAGTACTTTTTGAAGTTGCGGTGATTAGATCACAGACTTTATGGGCTAAATACAACTAACTACAGATGGATTACAAAATATAACCATATCAATAAAACTGGGAAATTCTGCTATACATTCTCATCATTACTGCTACCATACCTCGTCTATCTATTCTAAAACATGTTCTTCAAACATTGTTACTGTACATGGAGTTACCTTCTGCAAAAACAGAAAATGTAAATTAAAGAAATTATGAAAAAAAAAAGAAGAAGAAATGTCACACTGTGAGAGCAGCAAATGGGCTCGCTCCTCATCTTGTATCACACATTTCAATTCTCTCATTGCAGTCTTATCAATGTTTAGCACCTAACTCTGAAGGTCAAACACAAAGACGTATTGTCAAACCACAAAAAAACCACTGATGTCAACTTGACAATGACCATGGTTCGGTTGTTCAAAAAGGCTGTTACCCGTGAAGATCCAGGTAGAATAGGTCTTCAGCAACCCATGCTTGCCACAAAAGGCGACTTGCTCATACTGTTGATCACTGGACTGTCTGGTCCAGACTCAATTATTTACAGACCACTGCCATATAGCTGGAATATTGCTGAGTGCGGCATAAAACTAAACTCACCCACTCACTCAAAAAGCTGTTATTGCCACGTACTGTTAAACACTAACAGCCCATTAAATAGCTAACAAAAAGTTAGCCAACAGTCTGTTAAAATTTAACAGGCTTCTGAACAACCGGGCCCAGTACTGTAATCAAAGGTTGAACAATTTAACCAAGTCTGTTGTCAGTTAAACTCAAGTCCCCCTGCCCAATATGTCGATGAATCTAACAACTAATTCATTGTGACCAAGCAATATTGTATAGTGTAAGGATAACAGTATTGAAAAAATAACTAAGTACACTAGGGGATAACACATAGTATTGCACTGACAACTTTAGTGACTTGTCAATAAAATCTGAAGTACTCAGTGGAAGACTTGCAATATTGCATTTGTCAGCTGTCTTCATTAGTTCTTTCTCAAGACATTCTTCCACATATAATGATGTTTAAAGGGCATGTGCACCATGAGTGTCTCTGGTACAGCGTGTGTAAACACTAGATGTGTAATGATACAGAGATACGATATTGTATCCTGATACAGGCCCACCATCCAATACATCAATTTATACCCTGGTTCCTAATACATACAATGCATTACACACTATAGTCTGTTTGCAGTGAAAACGTTCCGATGAATTTCACTTTAAGCAAAAAAGTAAATCAAATAAAGTGAAATTAAGATTATGAATCTTCATAATTTTACCTTGCCAATTGAACATTTTTAAAATCTCAGAATGTTATTCAACTTAGGATAAAAGTTGTTTAACAAACGATCATAGTTTCAAATCGCTATTATTGGTTTGTATTACAAGGGGGTAAGCGCAGTAGTTGGAACAGTGAAACAAATGCACGTGCGGTACGTGATGAGCGTTAACTTAGACCAACCCTGCTTTTTCTCGGTGTTTCATGTAATGTGTAAACCCCCTTGTAATACAAACCAATAACAGCGATTTGAAACTATGATCATTTGTTAAACAACTTTTATCCTAAGTTGAATAACATTCAGAGATTTAAATGTTCAGTTGGCAAGGTAAAATTATGAGGATTCGTCATCTTAATTTCACTTTATTCAATTTACTTTTTTGTTAAAAGTGAAATTCATCGGTACGTTTTTAGTGCAAACAGACTATATATTGGCTGAAACTATGAAAAAACGAACAGAAACTGTTCAACAAGTCTAAGAATGATCCCCTTGTATTTCCTGATTAAAGGCACAATGTCACACATGTTCGGCAATATTTTGGCCTATATTATATATATATTTGGGCATATGCACTCACTTTAGCTTCCTATTGATGCAATAAAAGACTTATTATCCCTTACAACTTGCCTGAAATCGATAATTTGAAACTTCAAGGCAAACAGCTTCCAAACAGAGAACACTTGCCATATATGGAATGAAAACAATTGCTCCGTACATTGAAACAAACTGTCGCACGTGGTGTTGTCGGTGTTTGTTGAACTGATTTCACTCACAAGTTGTGCGTATGTTTTTGTCTAGGACTGAGTTCTCACTCCATAGGAGTTATAGGATATTCGTAAAGAGCCCTCCAAGGGACATAATTCTATGGGGTTCACCTAAAATAATGTTCGGCCAGTAGAGGGCGCAAGAGTCGATTTAATGCAATGTTGCATTAATTCTTTCAAACTTTTTAATTTATATTGTAATCAAAATATGTAATAAAAATTGGAATAAACTATATGGTAGCTTCCCTGAGGTCTGATAGTATTATTGAGAGAAATGCATTATTTATTTTTAGAGAAGTGTGGTGTGAAATAATGCCTTTAACTTTAAATGGAATAAAATATCACAGAGCCCTCCAATATATATGTGCCCTCTGATCAGTATGCTATTATCAACCTCTGTAAATTATACACAAATTATTCGGGGCCAAGGATATCAACTTTACAAATGAAGGTGCTGTATCAGGATACAAATCATATCACACCCATGGTGCCTGGAGATGCATCATATTGCGACCCCACCATATCGCAGGTCTGTCTCCAGATTCAGTTTACATGCAGTAACAGTGAACCATGTAAATAACAAATGATATCCCAACATTGCATAAACAATGTCTGGATGTTCTAACTCACAACAAACTTCAAACATAACATGGAAAAAAACATAATTTGTTAGGCCAGTCTTAAATATTTTCTCCTAGTAAGCGATCACAAAGCAGAAACATATTTTGTCTCTGATTTTTAAACTTTAATTCCTCCATTGTCAGATTATCTGGGATACATGTGAAACAAGAAATTAAAATGGCATGACCTCATGGCACATCAAAACATGGAAACTTAAAATACAACATTTAGGAAATTCAGGGGTGGTGCATGTAAGTAACCATGGTAACTGGAATATAAGGTGTGGGGGGAACACATGGAATGAATAGGAAGATAAATATGTGAAACAAAATAGAATATATTTCATAATTTTGTAACAAAAGACTTGATGAAATATGGTGCACTGAACATGCTGACAATATAGACATTTGATCATAAAAACATGGATATCAAACTGACCTCATTCTGAAGTGACTTCTTGCCAGTCTTATCTGAAACAACTTAAATACAAATAATCTATCGTAACAGGTCCTGTGTCACCAAGGAACTGACTGGCGTTTCAAGCTGCTCTGGTATAGGGATTCAAACCCCAGACATAGTCCAGACTAGTGAACACTTTAATGTCTTTAACCACTAGACTACCTTGTATTCAAAACAAAAAAACAAAAAAACAAATATCTTGTCACAGAGCAAAGCATCTACAAAATCCCTCTGAGAAGGAACCATTAATTCATCAACTCAGGACTAAAGCAGAAACTTACTCTAGTGTTTTCCTGATGCTTGTAAGCCCTGATTAGCATCTTTAATATCATTTGTTTGAGGTAACCATGGTAATGTCTAAGTTGGGACTAGAAATATTTTGATATAAAGTGCTCATTTATCATCAGTCTTATCAGTGAGTTGGAAAAAGTAATGCACTTACATCACGAAACATATCTTTCGTCAAAACAAAGAATAACTATAGTCCGTTTGGCTCAAAAGCGGACCGATGAATTGCAATCTAACTCGAAAACCAATAAACATAAAATACTCAATGAAACGCTGATCATAATTAAAACATCATACCACCTCTGTGAGGTTTTTTGCAGAATTTTTGTCCTAAAAATAAGAAAGTTGTATCATTAAAATATTGACACAGTTCACTATTTGTTACGAGGGAGGAGTGCAGAGAAAGGGACAGCCACTGGGGTAATAATGTCTATCATGTTGTGTGCGCCTAGAGCATGTCCCTACAGCGTGGAGCTCAGCGCTATATATGTGGCCAATTATTATTATTAAATACTATCATTGTATTTTCACATGCCAGCATTATTTAGTAGTCTCTGGCCAAGTGTGAATTTGGAAGGCTGATACAACATTTGCAGGACTATTCAAAGCAGCTACTGAGGTAGATGTTTCACAACATTAGTGAGTGAGTTTGGTTTTACACCGCTTTTAGCAATATTCAAGCAATATTGCAGCGGGGGACACCAGAAATGAGCTTCACACATTGTACCCATGTGGGGAATCGAACCCAGTCTTCGGCGTGACAAGCGACCGCTTTAACCACTGGGTTACCCCACTGCCCCTTCACAACATTAAAAACGGTCACTCTCTCCAGCTTCATCCGTCTGGCTGTTGTCAGGTTTACAGCCCAAATACAACCAATCACAGTAACAGACAGACACAGAAACTTGGACAACCACTGACGGGCCTCAACCTCTTTCTGTTGAGGCCAGTCTATGACTTATAAAATATGTACATGCACAGATTTGAAATAATTTGTGCTTGACAAACTCTGACAAAATTCTAGATCTTACTGTAGTTCTCAAAAATATCTTATTGCAAATATCATAACTTCAAAAACTTGTTTGCAGATGCAAAGAATTTGTAAACACATAGGCAGTATATCTTTGTCATATTCTCCTCAGACACAACCCTTGGTGCCTGATGAAAAGTTTCTCAGAAAAAATGTTACCACACATACTGATAAAGGCACAGGTCACCAACAAGCACACATTATTTGTGGCTTGACCAATGGTCAAATGTTCATCAAGTTGATTAAATTGCTGGTAAGTATAGAAAGGAAACCTTGGTATAGTTTGTGTAAACTGAAAGTTATCTGGGGTACATTTGTGTACAGAGAAAGTTTACATTTCTGTGGCACCAGAGCTGATGCCACCAAAAGCTATAGATTTGAACCAAGACCAGCACATGCAGCTGATTCAGGAAGATTGTGAAATCAAGTATGAAAACTGAAATCCATGTAGCAGGTAAAATGAAAAGAGTGACTATTTGTGACAGTCAATCTCTAGCCAGCCATTCTTGGCCTGGTAAGCTAAAAAGATAAACCAAAACAAAACTAGCTGTAATCTGATGCAATACAATGATAGAAATATTATAAAATGTGACCCAAGGCACTGTAAAAAATTATGGCAAGTAACTCAATAGAGTTATTTTGTTATGTCTATATTATATGACCTTCAGTTAAGGGAGATAACTCTCAGCAGAACTCCTCGTTGCTGTCTTGTGACTGTACACTGAGGTCAGCAAGGTCAGTGTTGATGATGTCAAGTAGCCACGCTGCCTCCTCCACCACAACACACATCAACTTGTCCAGGTAAGTCTTCTGTGTCGTCGCTTCCCTCACCGTCTCCCTCAATGCTTGCAACACCTCCTCCTGTTGATAGAGATGATTATAGGTCCTGCTTACTGGAAATATAGGTGGTTGACAGAGTTGTTAAAGGAGGGGAATTAAGGTGGTTAGTGTTGTTAAAGGAGGGGAAATACAGGTGTTAATCATGTAAGTGAACCATAGGTGGGTAATTGTGTAGGGGAAGTACAGGTGGTTAGTGATGGAGGTGAAATATATACAAAATTTCATCCAAGTGTCTATTGATATCAACAATATCAACACAAGTTGATAAAGTTGAAAGAGTTGATATAAATTTGATATCAGAAGACACTCTGGTTAGATTCTATTTTTATTCTCAAAAATCACTCTTCATTAGTTTTCAATGAAAAAATGTAGAATCTCACCCTCATTGTGAGTCATGTAATTGATATTCTGATATCAAATATATCAACACTCGCATTGGATGATAATAGTGAAAAATATACTAGGGTTGGGTACCTCATTGCAAGCTAGCATACACTCGCGATATTTGTATATTTGGCACAAAATAAAGAAACAAGGAATAGAACACTTTAACATCAACACAGTGGTTACTAGTTTGAACTAGTTTCTCCACTCTTTCAAAAAGCCCTGAGATTTTAGACAGCAACTTGACCTGGTCAGGACATATCAGAGATCACTGGTCATTAATGAGTAATATTTAAAACATTCAGATCCAAAACATTGCTAAACACTTGAACAAAAATTAAGAACACTTCAAACCAAACTTGACTTCCGGTGTGAAAAACAGAAATATCCGAAGATTTCCGAGTGTTACAAAGTTTTCCGAACGCATGTCGAAATACCGGTTTTCGATCAGCGTATCGACAATACCTATCGATTTCATGTCTGAACCAGTAAATACCACTAAACCGGTTATATTGCGCAGCCCTAAAATATACGTGGTTAATGGTGTAGGGGAAATTACGATAGTTAACCCTGGAGGGGAATGTAGAAAAAATAAATCAGGGCACTTAACGGAATGCTACTGCAGACCTCACCTTGGACGTAGTCTCCTGGTCCAGATGCTGTATCAGCTCTTCATACAGACCCACACCTACACTGTCTGGGTCTGGTGGCATGGGGCCAGAGTCTGAAATACCACACTCACTTCATGTTGTGTTGCCATGGTTACAGATCACTTGAAAATATGGGTACTTTCATCTAGTGTTACTATAGTAACAGATATCATGCTACCCCTTCAATACACTGGCCATTTCATCTGGTGTTACCATGGTTACAGACATCACCCAACCCCTTCAATACATTGATCCCATTATTTCGTGTTACAGATATTCTTAACAGCCATGGTGCCTACTGCTTGAGCTAGTGACCTGATCAATCTGGTATTATTAAACATAATGGCTATGAGTACAGTCTAATCCGACACTTGTAGTTACAGAGAAATATGTCGGATTAACGAAAATGTCGGATTAATGAAAATGTCGGAAAATATCAGAAATTGTAGATCTGGTTATATCGTCTTACGTTTGTTTTACCAGTCGATACGCTATGTAACTCTCAGCAGCCATTATGACCCAGGATGTCAGATGGAGTCACTGTTTACATACAACTAGTTCCACACTAACATATGGATGTCTGGTATGTCTAACATATGGAGTTTCCTGTAAAATATCGGACGTCTTCAGTAGCTTAGCAGGTGGTGTACTCGTGACAGACATCTTGTCGTGATGAATGCTCAGATTCGGTTGTAAACATTTTATACAGCTCGCTCTTTTGTTATTTCTTGATTAAATCGCCTCAATTAATTATCTTTTGTTTCCTAATTAACAAGTGTGATGTTCACGAAGTGGGTGTTAAGCAGCCAGTAAAGGTTGCTAGATTGGTGTGTCGGTCGAATCGCGAGAATGTCGGATTAAGCGAGGTAATTATCACTGTTTTAAATGGTTCCCTATTTTTTGTCGGATTAACGTGATTGTCCGGATTAATGAGTGTCGGATTAACGAGAGCTGACTGTACTAGGAATATGACACATGAGGATTCAAACCTGAATGAGTAAATGCACTATCCACGCACCTAACCTGTTTACAAGCTGAAACATCTTACAGGTTGTAAAGGTAAGTTCAGATATTGGGGAAATGATGGTTCTGATGACAATGATGATGATGATAGTGATGATGATGTAGGATAAAAAATCTGAATATGACAAAGTGAGTGAGTGAGTGAGTTTAGTTTTACGCCGCACTCAGCAATATTCCAGCTATATGGCGGCAGTCTGTAAATAATCAAGTCTGGACCAGACAATCCAGGGATCAACAGTATGAACATCAATCTACACAACTGGGAACTGATGACATGTGTCAACCAAGTCAGCGAGCCTGACCACCATCCCGTTAGTCACCTCGTACGACAAGCATGGGTTACTGAAGATCAATTCTAACCCGGACCTTCACGGGTTGTATATGACAATGTCTCTGATGATAAGATGAAGAAAGTCACTGACAAAGATGGTATCACTGATGACAGTAACGGTGAAGATGATGCTGATGACAACATTGATGATGACCACGGTGGTGGTGGTAGTTGTGGTAATGATGATGAAGATGGTAGCAATGACAAGGGCTACGGTAATGATACCAATGATGATTCTGATGACAACACTGATGACGACCATATTAGTGGAGGTGATGAAGATGGTAGGGGTGATGAGGGCTACAGTAATGATAATGATACTGATGATGATTCTGATGACAACATTAATAATGACCATATTAGTGGAGGTGATGAAGATAGTAGCAGTGATGAGGTCAACTGTGATGAAGATGATGAAGACGACATTGAGGACATACTCTTGCCTGACTTGGTCAGTGTTATTGCTTCTAGTTTTGCCAAGACAGCATCTCTCTGTCTCTCCACATCAAGTAAAGCACCAGCCTGAAGTAGACAAAGAAATCTGAAAGACCTCCATGAAATCATCAGTACAAATGATATAAAATCAATACAAATAATAACATTAGTACATATGATAATACCACACATATAAGACACCTACATCAAACGCATCACACATAACAGCTCCATCACACATATGACAGCCGCATCAAACATGTAACACAGCTGCAAAACACATATAACACAGCTGCATCACACACATGACGCATCTGCATCACACACATATAACACAGCTGCATCACACACATATAACACAGCTGCAACACATATAACACAGCTGCATCACACATATTACACAGCTGCATCACACATATAACTCAGCTGCATCACACATATAACACAGCTGCATCACACATGACACAGCTGCATCACACATATAACACAGCTGCATCACACATATAACACAGCTGCATCACACATATAACACAGCTGCAACATCACATATAACACAGCTGCAGCCACACACACATAACACAGCTGCATCATAAAACAGCTGCATCACACATATAACACAGCTGCATCACACATATAACACAGCTGCATCACACATATAACACAGCTGCATCACACATATAACAGCTGCATCACACATATAACACAGCTGCATCACACATATAACACAGCTGCATCACACATATAACACAGCTGCATCACACATATATAACACAGCTGCATCACACATATAACACACAGCTGCACACACACACATATAACACAGCTGCATCACACATATAACACAGCTGCATCACACATATAACACAGCTGCATCACATATAACAGCTGCATCACACATAACTCAGCTGCATCACACATAACACAGCTGCAACACACATATAACACAGCTGCATCACACATATAACAGCTGCAACACACATATAACACAGCTGCATCACACACATAACACAGCTGCATCACACATATAACAGCTGCATCACACATATAACACAGCTGCATCACACATATAACACAGCTGCATCACACATATAACACAGCTGCATCACACATATAACTCAGCTGCATCACACATGTAACAGCTGCATCACACATATAACACAGCTGCATCACATATAACTCAGCTGCATCACACATATAACTCAGCTGCATCACACATACAACACACATCACACATATAACACAGCTGCATCCATCACACATATAACAGCTGCATCACACATATAACACAGCTGCATCACACATATAACTCAGCTGCATCACACATATAACACAGCTGCATCACACATATAACTCAGCTGCATCACACATATAACACAGCTGCATCACACATATAACAGCTGCATCACACATATAACACAGCTGCATCACACATATAACACAGCTGCATCACACATATAACACAGCTGCATCACACATATAACACAGCTGCATCACACATATAACACAGCTGCATCATACATATAACACAGCTGCATCACACATATAACACAGCTGCATCATACATATAACAGCTGCATCACACATATAACACAGCTGCATCACACATATAACAGCTGCATCACATATAACACAGCTGCATCACACATATAACACAGCTGCATCACACACATATAACAGCTGCATCACACACATATAACACAGCTGCACAACACATATAACACAGCTGCATCACACATGCATAACACAGCTGCATCACACATATAACACAGCTGCATCACACATATAACACAGCTGCATCACACATATAACAGCCAACACTGCATGCACAGCTGCACATATAACACAGCTGCATCACACATATAACACAGCTGCATCACACACATATAAACACAGCTGCATCACACATATAACACAGCTGCATCACACATATACAACAGCTGCAACAAACATATAACAAAGCTGCATCACACATATAACACACAGCTGCATCACACACATATAACACTGCTGCATCACACATTTACACAGCTGCAAACAAACATATAACACTGCTGCATCACACATATAACACAGCTGCATCACACATATAACACTGCTGCATCACACATATAACACAGCTGCATCACACATATAACACTGCTGCATCACACATATAACACTGCTGCATCACACATATAACACAGCTGCATCACACATATAACACAGCTGCATCACACATATAACACTGCTGCATCATCACATATAACACAGCTGCATCACACACATATAACACAGCTGCATCACACATATAAACAGCTGCATCACACATATAACACAGCTGCATCACACACATATAACACAGCTGCATCACACACATATAACACAGCTGCATCACACACATATAACACAGCTGCATCACACATATAAGACAGCTGCAACTCACATATAACACAGCTGCATCACACATATATAACAGCTGCATTACACATATAACAGCTGCATCACACATTTAACTCAGCTGCATCAAACATAACACTGCTGCTGCATCACACATATAACACAGCTGCATCACACACATAACACTGCTGCATCACACATATAAAACTGCTGCATCACACACATATAACACTGCTGCATCACACATATATAATAGCTGCATCACACATATAACACAGCTGCATTACACACATATAACACAGCTGCATCATTATCACACATATAACACTGCTGCATCACACATATAATAGCTGCATCACACATATAACACAGCTGCAACACACACATATAACAGCTGCATCACACATAACACTGCTGCATCACACATATAACACAGCTGCATCACACATATAACACAGCTGCATCACACATATAACACAGCTGCATCACACATATAACACTGCTGCATCACACATGACACAGCTGCATCACACATATAACACAGCTGCATCACACATATAACACAGCTGCATCACACATATAACACAGCTGCATCACACACATATAACACAGCTGCATCACACATATAACACAGCTGCATCACACACATATAACACAGCTGCATCACACACATATAACACAGCTACATCACATATAACACAGCACATAACAGCTGCATCAGATATAACACAGCTGCATCACACACATATAACAGCTGCATCACACATATTTAACTCAGCTGCAAACACACATAACACTGCTGCATCACACATAACACACAGCTGCATCACACATAACACAGCTGCATCACACATATAACACAGCTGCATCACACATAACACAGCTGCATCACACACATATAACACAGCTGCAACATACATATAACACAGCTGCATCACACATATAACACTGCTGCATCACACATATAACACAGCTGCATCACACATATAACACAGCTGCATCACACATATAACACAGCTGCATCACACATATAACACAGCTGCAACAAACATATAAAACAGCTGCAAAACACAACACAGCTGCATCACACAACACAGCTGCATCACATACACATATAACAGCTGTATCACACACAACACAGCTGTATCACACATATATAACATATGCTTCACTGACATAACCCAGAATACTCACCTTGACTTCAAGTGCTTTCTCAAGGTCGCTAACCTTCATAGTATGGCCAGACAGGGCTTCTTGCAGTTGTTGTACCTCTTCCTGGAAAAATAGTTCCAACAAAAATAGAAAACGGAATTGTTTTTTCACAAAATGCTTCTATCAAATCCCTTCTCTTCCCTACGTGGCTCCAAAAAGGCTATTAACCAGCCAAGATACCTGGATTATCTGATCAGCAGATATATTTATAGGTATGAACAGACAAAGGGAAAGAACTCTTCATAGCAAATGCAGATTCTAACCTAACAAGATCATAATGTTTGTTGCTCAATATAGCACTTAGCTGTATTGAAGCTATATCATCATGGCCTATATGTATATTTTAGTCGGGACCAAACAAACCAGTGATTGATATTACAGCAATCAATCCATACCTTAAAGGTAAAATCTACCAAAATATATATACATGACCATAGCTTTGTAAAATAGGACCCTGTACCTGGAGGGCAATGTTGTCCTTCACATCATTGATGTGCTCAGCTGATGTATTCTTGATCACCTGATTCGGATCTACATTCTCGGACTTGAGGTCGACCAGAAAATCCCTCAGCTGCTGCCATCGGTGCTCCGATGAACTCAACTGGAACAATGATATTGTCAATAACCAGAAGCTCTAATAACCAATCTCAATCATTACATTCTCAGTGTATAGTAAATGAATGGATCGTGGAGCTTGTGTTGTGGACCTCGTATCATGATACAACAGTATCATTACACCACTAATTCTAACCCCAAATCCTGAAAGTGTGATAATGTACAGACACAAACTCCACACATGGACACAGGCCTGGGTACCAATGGAAATCACAGAATACTGACATACAATAGACACGAGATCACTAGTATACCCACCTTAAAACTGAGGTCTGTGTTTTGTTGGTCGTAGCATTCCGTCACAGAACTCCTGCAAAACAGTTTCATCAGCATAAACAAAACCTGTAAACATCAATTATTGCACATTATGACACTTACCAACAAAGGATCATCTGGCTATAGGATTGAGCTCTATCATATTTACTAAGAAAGGTGGGATACTGTATGGTTGACAACTTCTTCATCATAGTATTATTACTGATATTATATAATAAAGAAGATGTCATCCATACAGTAACCTCCTGCCTTTCTTATTACTCATCAACTTCTAAATGCCAATCAAACAGATAATATTTACTGAGTGAGTGAGTGAGTGGGGCCACTTTTAGCAATATTCCAGCAATATCACGATAGGGGACACCAGAAATGGGCTTCACTTATTGTACCCATGTGGGGAATCAAACCCGGGTCTTCGGCATGAGGTCCGAATGCTTTAACCACTAGGCTACACCACCGCCCCGATAATATTTACTGACTCCTACATCAAGCATGCAGTACTGTAACACTACACCTCAATACCCACATGATGGTTGTTTTGTTTCATCAAGTAGCTGTTAAATTCAAGCAGGTCTACTGACCGAGACTCATAAATTGTACTGAGGACAGGTTGAAATTCAATAATGGTAGTCCTCCTTGACTAATAAAATTTCAGGGCTATGATTCTGAACCAGTTTTAAATGTCCAAGATATTTTTTATGGATTAAACTTCTTTTTTAATTTCTCTCACAACGTTTCGAGACCATTCCAGGTCCCTTCATCAGGTGAACTGGCAGTTAGGACTATGACGTCGTCACTATGACGTCATTACTGAGTTATGACGTCACAATGCAAGTGACATCACAGTACACTAGGGAGAGTACTGTATAAGTGAGTTAGTTACATAATGATGAAATTCATGCTAAATAATAGAGTTGAAAGTTGAATTGTCAATACACAACAACTGCTAATTACACAAAGGTTACTTGATAGCAGGCTTTCCAAAAGAATAGTAGACTCGTTTTTCTTGTATCTAAAGTTCATCTAAAGTTCATCAAAAAGTTAATCAAGAGGTCCCGTTATTTCTTCGCACTTGGCAGGTATACACCTTGATCACGATTAATTGCTGGTTTATGTCTCCTTATCTCGACTTCCAGCTTCCTGTAGTTTTCTCCGACGCCAGTCATTGTTATTTCTCGAAATCACCTAATATCATTCCACATGATTACATGACTTGGGTTATTTGCCTTGTGCTCCGATATAGCTGACTTATCAGCATACTGATCCGTGTGAGTTGGCTTCCTGATACTCACACGGATCAGTATATCAATTACAACTCCTGTCACCACCCACAGATCAAACAAGCAATTATTGCTACTCTCACTAGAAGAGCCAAGTCGATCTGTCACCCAGATAATTTAAACAGTGAAATTGATTACCTCAAGAGAACCTTTACCGTCCTCAATGGCTACCCAGCCCGTCTTGTCTCCAGGACTATCACCAAAACGCTTGAAGTATCAGAACCGGCCTCAAGCCTGAACCATCCCGATCAGGATCACAATACCCTAAATTGGGACCAGTCAGCCATCAAATAGCCCGACTAATCAAGAGCAAAGTGGGCTTTGATATAACTTTCTCTAGCGGTACAGCAATTAAGACACTCCTCTGGGAAAATGGTAGAGGATCTTGCAATGGAAGCCCCAACCCTAGAGGATGTGTATACCAAGTACCATGCAGCTGTGGCGATCAATATATAGGCCGAGACTCTCAGGCCCATTAACACCCGGGTTGCTGAACACAAGTCATCAGTATGCAAACAAAATGATAAGTCAGCTATATCCAGACACAAGGCAAATAACCCAAGTCATGTAATCATGTGGAATGATATTAGGGTGATTTCGAGAAATAACAATGACTGGCGTCGGAGAAAACTACAGGAAGCTGTCGAGATAAGGAGACATAAACCAGCAATTAATGCGTGATCAAGGTGTATACCTGCCAAGTCGTGGGACCTCTTTTGATGAACTTTAGATGAACTTTAGATACAAGAAAAAACGAGTCTACTATTCTTTTGGAAAGCCTGCTATCAAGTAACCTTTGTGTAATTAGCAGTTGTTGTGTATTGACAATTCAACTTTCAACTCTATTATTTAGCATGAATTTCATCATTATGTAACTAACTCACTTACACAGTACTCTCCCTAGTGTACTGTGATGTCACTTGCATTGTGACGTCATAACTCAGTAATGACGTCATAGTGACGACGTCATAGTCCTAACTGCCAGTTCACCTGATGAAGGGACCTGGAATGGTCTCGAAACGTTGAGAGAGAAATTAAAAAAGAAGTTTAATCCATAAAAAATATCTTGGACATCAATGTACAACTTCTAAATGCCACTGAAAGACATCAGTTTTAAATGTTTCAATATATCTACAAACAGTCAATCTCACATAAAATGTAAACATGCTAAACATTTTTGCCTTGCTCAGGTGTGACAGGCTACAAACTATTACGACAACTGAATTAAGGTTCCCACAAGTGAGCTGGTCAGAAACAAATTTGTAAGGCTTACCATGACATATCAGATAGTGATTCAAGTTTCAATGGACCTAAATAACAGTGACCTGATAAACAATTCAGATTTAACTTGACAACTAGTGCTACACGTCAGGGACGAGGATCCATACCATCAGGATATAATACTATGAACTTGGCGAGCTCACATACTATAACCCCTGACCAAGCTACATATATTCTTCTCTGTAATCTCTTTACCAAAACATGCATGGTTACCATGGTTACTGGGGACCTGTTCAGTGCCAAACAAGTGTAGTGTATACGTACAATGTCCAGAACACTTGGGCCACATCAAAAGATAAATTATGTAAACATCCGAAGGTACAATAATCACATAATCACAGGTAAATTGTGAGTGAAATTGTTTTGTTCTTCATAATTCTTCACAGAGTTCTGTTAATGTGACAGACAGACATTTTGGCATCCTTCATTACCTTCTGTGTTGCCTAGCAACCACCATTTGCAGTTGATCAGACTTGAGCATCAATCGTTCAAGTAAAAGTTCTGTAGATGAACAGTTATCTCCCCTGATAAGTGATATCCCATTAACTTCCAATATTCTGAAATGGAAATATCAGTCTTAGATATAACAGTAATAGAGTAACAACACAGCTTACGAAACCGAAAATAATGACATCCTGCTTATGGCAATCTGTCAAAATATTTCTGTGTTCTCCAACTCTGTTTTCCCAAAGGGATATACATCATGTATATTTACCGGTATACTAGTGTATATGTTTCTGTCCCGAGCCCTGACTAAGACTTGACTTACAATGCTCTTTCACTGAGATAAATGTCACAGATTTAATCACACAGACACAGTATACCGGCTCTGGCCAACCATTCCTTGTTCTGTCTCCTTAATGCCAAGCACAAGGCAGGGTGTCGGTCACTTCCTTTGGAGTGAGTGAGTGAGTTTAGTCTTACACCGCTTTTACCAATAATCCAGCAATATCACGGCAGGAGACACCAGAAATGGGCTTCACACATTGTACCCATGTGGGGAATCGAACCCGGGTCTTCGGCGTGACGAGCGAACGCTTTAACCACTAGGCTACCCACCGCCCCTCTTTAAATGTCACAAAAACTTTATTATCACAATGGTGTCAAGTACTCACAAATCTGCAACTCTCAAGGGTGATGTTTCGGAGACGCTCCTGACGACAACTGTGCCTTGACTGGAAACGTCGCACACAAAGTCGTATCCGTCCTGTCCCCGCTTGATGATGAAACACTGAACACACTGTGGCCCACTGGCTCGGAACACATCAAACAGGGCCGGTCGTCTTGACAACCTGTACAAAAACAAACCTCTTCCCCAATCAACAGGACCAATGGCACGGAAGAAGTGAGTGAGTCAGGATTTACATCACAACACTCTCAGTTGTCGGATGTACCTATTACAAGCACCAACATGTGATTTGAATGTGATTGTGTTTTCATTGTAAGTTTTGTCAGCATTATCAGGTCCTTCTTTGATTGGCATTCTAGAAAGGCAAAAGGCATCAAAACATGCTAATACATTCATATTTTGAGCAAGTGAGTAAATATTGTGTTTTGCAACAGTTAGCTGTATCGTAGTATCGTAGACAATAGAAATGGCTTCCAACATGTGATCATGTGGAACTTTCAGCATAACAAGCAAACATTTTCACAAGTTGTTATAAGGAAGCTACCTCATCAATCTACACTATTGACATGCGAACCCAACTGCTCGCCTCTTACAAGCATTAACTGCTGAAGAACAAATTATAACCCATATTTTCATGAGTCAGTAACGACATGATTGTGTCTCCAGGGTAACTGGCAGAGATATTTCCTCCTGACTACCGGATCGTGTTAGTCGTCTGTTACGACAAGCATGGGTTCCTGAAGATCAATTCCAACCCCGATCTTCATGTTGAACTGAATGGGTAAGTTAGGTTTAATGCAACTTTGAACAGTATTCCTGTAATATCAAGGCAGGGGACAACAGAAATGGGTTGCTGATGGCCAATTCTCATGATTCTAACCCTGATCTTCACAGGTATGAAAGTGAAAGGTAATTATGTAAATAAACATCTAAACTAAGAAAGTAACCCATTACTTACCCCTTAGCAGCCAACAGAGCATTAGGGGTGGACTTCCTCTTCAGATACTTCCTGGCGGGTGAAGCAGTTGGAGTAGAGTCCGACCACATCCCATCCACCCCAGACTCTGACCTTGACCTTGCTTTTCCTGCAGGAACTGAGAGGACAGAGGCGCCCCCCTGGTGAGGGACTCCGTGAGAATACAACCAGGGAGGGGGAACTACTTCTATCCCGACATCGAGCTATACGCATAGCTGCGGCATACTTTTCCTGGTCCTGAGCGTTACTGTAGCGAGTCTTTCTCTCTACTTTCCCAGCCATCTGGCTGGGCGACACAAGGTCGTATACTTCAGACAGCAATTCTTCTCGATCCATTGGAAGGACATCACTGTCATCTTCAACAATAAACATCAATTCAGAAGACATTCTGTTACATACACCCTCAGATATATATATTATTCCATATATAACACTGAATGTAAAGGAATTCAGTGTTCTTTATAGTATATTTTGACAATACAGTGGAACCAAGTTTATCCTGACACTTTATTGTGAGAACTGAGAATGAACATGCAATTTATGTGTTGCATAATGACTAGCATTTCGTCGAAAAATAATTTTGAACTGCAGTCATTAACAGTTTTAAATTGCAATTCAATAATTGCAATTCTGTAAAAGATAAACATTTTTTTTAATTTCAATCATTCTACCAAACATTTCATAATTGCTCATCCTGAAACTTGAAAAATACATATTTACAGATACAAAAATTTGCAGTGAGTTACATTAGCAACATTACATAACTTATGCCTATAATTCTATCTATCAAAACAAAGCACTTACATACAAAGTTGAGATTCAAATGTATCAGGTCATTTCCTGTCACTTTATACTCTGAAACAAAATCCCACATATCAGATAACTGAATCATGTCCAACAGTCGGTACAAGGACACAGGGTGACTGCAAACACTACCAATTAATTATATTTAATTTTAATTTGGGCTTCCCCCAGTATGGTGAGATTTTAGATTTTTCTGTCTCATTGTGACACCCACTTCAAGCCAGCATGTAAAGCCTCATTCAAGACACGTAACATTTTCTGCTGTCATTTATGCAGGAGCAAGGACTGTACTACGGCTATGCATATTTTGGCTAATTTAGTTCTAAACTTTGGAACAGTGAGTTCAGTTCTATGCCGCTTTTAGCAATATTCCACCAATATCAACATGGGGGACACCAGTGGGCTTCACACATTGTACCAACTTGAGGAAAGAAATCCAGGTCTACAGCATAATGAGCGAACACTTTGACCACTGGGCTACCCCACCACCCCTAATTTGGAAAGAAGGTAGGGGTGAAACAGTATGCTCTTACCACAGTACGGTACGTATTGCGGTACAAGGTCTTCGGTTTGGTCTGGTTCGGTTCGGTACATCAGATATGATCATAATGCAGAAAATTGACTGAGCCAAGACAACAGCCAAACCGTGACAGATTTTGACAAAATGATTCGTTTTCTAGGAAAGCTTTAAAAAGGTTAATAAACTGATTGCGCGAAAACCGAAAATACAGAATTTTTGGATTGCATTACGGTATACCGAACTGAAGGCAAAATACCACAGTTCTACTAATACCGCTGATATATACCATTTTACCCCTAGAAGAAAGGGCTGAAACATAAACATACACCAATAGCCATCTTTAAAATCAGACTGACCAGTCAAATACAACAGTGATTATTGTGACGTTAACATTTATACAAATAAATTTCAAATTTTTAAGTCACAAAAGTTTCAAAAGAGGTATTGGATCGGAGTGAAGGATCTTTTAATGGCATCAAATTTAATCCACAATATTAGCATTAAAGGACAGCTATAAGTCATAATACGTGGCTATTTTAGTCCTATTTTTCTTAACTGTATCATCAAAAGAATTAATAAATCCGACATATTCTGATATATTTGAGCACATGCCCCCTGCAGACACTTACTGTTCACCGCAGGGATGAACTTGTGCAGGTGTTTCGACCTGACCCACTGCTCCACGTCATGGACGTCCCATGTACTGACCTGCAACGTCACCATACAGCATCACCATCGACACACCAACATCAGACACAGGCATTATATTAGACACCACAGGTTATGAAACTACTTCCTCACTGAGTGAAGAGGAAGACCTGTTCACATGATATATCTCCTAGATCACATTATTATCATGTACACCACTGACCAAATGTTTCTGTGATATGTTTCATCTTGGAGCATCCTTGAATATATATTGCAGGGATAGAAACATTAACTAGTCTGTTAGTCCCAAGACTAGTTGGTTCACACCCAAATCCTGTTTCCTGTTTAATGCCACACTCAGCAATATTCCAGCTATATTGCAGCGGTTTGTATATAATCGAATCTGGACCAGTCAATCCAGTGATCAACAGCATGAGCATCGAACTACACAATTTCCAAATCTTGTTCTGTTACAGACACTGGCTGACTGGCTGAGTATGGTTTTACGCCGCTTTTAGCAATATTCCAGCAATATCACGGCGGGGGACACCAGAAATGGGCTTCACAAGTTATACCCATGTGGGGAATCGAACCTGGGCCTTCGGCGTGACGAGCGAACGCTTTAACCACTAGGCTACCCCACTGCCCTACAGACACTACTAATCCGAAATAACCAGAGGACAAGTTAGATATGACCAATGGGTTCTGCTCCTGCAGTGTGCTGTATCTCCATTCCAATTGGATAAATACCCTGGATGAATTCACCACCACAATTTCATGTCTGTTATTGGTTTGTTTGTTGTTTAAAGCTGCACTAAGCAATATCCCAACTCCATGACCATCTGTAAATAATCAAATCTGGCCAAGACATCGTCAATGAACATCGATCCACACAATTTGGATATGATGTCATCATCTAAATCTTTCCTATCGCTAGATCAGTGATGACATTTGCTCTCTCATGAGCATAATTTGATATAAGATGGTGATATAATAATATATAATGGTGATATATCATAAAATAATGGAAACATCAAGGATGAAACAATGAAAGTGCATGACTACTTTTCTGTGACTTCTTGCTGAACAAATCACGAATCTCTGCAACTCTACCTTGGCCATTAAGGAAGTGACTTAAGTTGTCAATGGTAACTGTGAACTAATTATTCTATTTGTTAGGGACTAAGAGTTTTACCTTTACCCATATGGTTTGGTTTTCTTGTCTGTGTTTTGTTTAACATTGCAATCAGCAATTTTCACCATGTGGTTTCCAACGATAGCAAGTTTACAAGAGATACTGATACATGTCATTGTCAACAAACAAGCCAAAACACATACTTACTTACTTCAGATAAATTTTCACTTTGCGAGTGGTCTGCGAGCATGGACAAAGTATCAACTAAGACTGTGCAATGTCTGCAAATGGCGCCTGATTTTCAGGGTATCCTCAATAAACGGAAGAGTTCACTTTCTTGAGTTATATTGGCGCTGTGGTGATACTTACAAGCTTTTCCTGGCTTAAGTTTTCCCTTGTCTGTCGAACTTGCAGAGAACTCGGGCCTTGAAGTGGAAGTAAAATACAAGATCATAAAAACAAAAACAAAGCTTGAAATTCATAAAGATGTTATTGTCGAGTAAGTGAGTGAGTGAGTGAGTGGGTGGGTGGCCGGGCAAGCGAGCGAGGGCACAACAGAATTGTGGTAAAGTGAGTGAGTGAGTGAGTGAGTGAGTATGGTTTTACGCCGCTTTTAGCAATATTCCAGCAATATCACGGCGGGGGACACCAGAAATGGGCTTCACACATTGTGCCCATGTGGGGATTCGAACCCTGGTCTTTGGCGTGACGAGCGGACGCTTTAACCACTAGGCTACCCCACCACCCCGAATTGTGGTAAAGACATCATACCCATGTGAGGAATCAATCATGGGTCTTCAGCATGACAAGTGGATGCTTTAATCATTAGGTTACCGTACCAGCCTCACAGATGTAAGAGAAACACAATGAACACAACAGGTATGGGTGGTCTGGCTTGCTGACTTGGTTGACACATGTCATCATATCCCAACTCCGTAGATCGATGCTCATAATGTTGATCACTGGATTGTCTGGTCCAGAATCGATTATTTACAGACCGCCTCCATATTGCTGGAATATTGCAGAGTGAGGTGATAAACAATGAACAAACCATCTGTGGAGGTGTCCTCTGATATTCACTAAGAGTGAGTGAGTTTGGTTTTACGCCGCTTTTAGCAATATTCCAGCAATATCACGGCGGGGGGACACCAGAAATGGGCTTCACACAATGTACCCATGTGGGGATTTGAACCCGGGTCTTCGGCGTGACGAGCGAACGCTTTAACCACTAGGCTACCCCACTCGCCCCATTCACTAAGAGAGGTATCATATCAGATGTGAGAGATGTGCTTTGAAAAGATATCTTTTAAGCCAAGTTGTACATACTTTTAGATCTCCTCCTCAAATCAGCCCTGTGAGGCGACAGTGCAAGCTGTGTGGGTTTACTGGTGCATGTCGGGCTATGAGACGGGGTCAGCAACTGATGAAGAGGTTTATCACCCGACATCACATCACCTCAGGTCGATATATCCTGTATCATCACCATGTACCATATCATCCACGATGCTGAAACACACACATATACAGTACAACCAGAAATTATTGAGAATTTAAAGATTGTAATATTTTTTTTTTCACTCATTACTCACGTATTAAATGTGAATATTAGCAGAACATAACTCCAGATTCAAAGACAGGTGAACAGTTAGTATTTTGTCAAGTCACCATGGGCAGCCATGCAGGCTTCAATGCGGCGGGGCATATTACTGATCAAAGAAGTTAGAAAGTCGTGGTCCATGCTGTCCCAATATCAGACCACCACTTCTTTCATTTCAGCAATATTTGTCAGATTTGTCTTATTGACACTTTCCTTCATAAGTCCCCAAACATTTTCTATTGGATTTAGGTCAGGGCTATAGCTTGGCCAATCTAATAATGTCATATTTTGGATCCGAAACCAGGCCTGTGAATGCTTTGAACGATGTTTTTGGTTGTTGTCCTTCTGGAAAATCCAAAAATTTCCATAGAACACATGAGCAGATGGAAGTAAATGTCCCTCGAGAATATCTGTGTACGGCTCACTGTTCATATTCCCTTCAAATACACAGAGGGGCGTTGCCCTAACACAGATATGCCACCCCACACGTTAAATTTCAGACTGTACTTTGGGCGCTGATACAAAGGTTTTTCAGTTTGTTTGGTCCAGAATTTCAGTGTATTAGGAAACAGCCACACAGAACTTTCATCTGAGAAAATCACATTGTCCTAGTTAAAATTTCTATGTTGTAAGCACCAGTTCAACCTTCGCTCCTTTTGTTCAGGTTTCATGATCGGTGATGGAATTCCTCGACTTTTCTGCCAACCCATTGCATGCAGCTCAGTTCTAATTGTCTCCTTACAGACAGCCACAGTTCCTCTATCAATCATATCCAGCCTTAAGTTTTCTAAACTCCTTCGTTTGTTTTTAGAAACAAGAATACCAAGCCGCCTCCTGTCACCGACAGTCAATTATCTGGGCCTACCTGCGCCTCCCTGGTCCTCAATGCCATATCCATTTGCAATATTTTTCAAAACACGATAAACAGTGGACAAAGGGATGCCTGTTCTACTTGAAATCACTTTAGCTGATCTGATGTCCTTGTTATAATACTCTAAAATCAACTTCCTCTTCTCTAAATCATCCATACTGAGAATCACTGAAAATGTCGTCTGCTAACAAGTAAACAAAGGGGATAACTCTTCACAAACTAATGAAAAAGGATTAAGAGAGTCTCTCTTGAATGAAACCAAGCACTTGATAGCTGGTCAAGGTTGTTTATACTAGAAATCCAATTAAACATATTCCTAAAATTCTCAATAATTTCTGGTCATACTATATATATATATGTATACAATACAATACATTTGTACAGTGCTGAACATCCACCTCAAAGATGTTCAGTGGCGTTAAGGACAAATTCAGTCTAAGTAAACTTAGGCTCAGTATTATTCGTTACACTGCTATACTGAGTCTAACAAAACCTTGTGGAAGGTCGTGTCAGGTAATCTTTGAGCGACCTATGACCGTCCAATCAAACACGAGACGGCCGAACGGATTTAACCAGTCAGACAACAGCTACTATTTAGTGTTTCGACAAAATGTATTTTCTCTTCCCCGGTCGCCAACACTGATCTCACAACAAATGAAAACCCACATAAAACATAGATATATGACCTGCAGAATATACGCTTTTTTTGGTTTCTGCTGACATGGTTATCATTAGCTAATATTTCTGAAAGCTGACATCCTTGAATACTGACAAAAGCTATTTTCAGCGACTGTTTACTCACAGTTGTGGCGTGCTCCATGTGCATCACTCAGAAGCGATCGACACGGAAAATAGCATTCGGAATCGTTCGGGTACAAAACTTTTTCGAGGTAAAAGTTTAAAAGGTATGTGCGAATGTTAACTTTCGCGATTTGGTAAGCTGTGTTCTGATTGGTCAATTGAAAAGGTTACCTGACGCGACCTTCCACAAGGTTTTGTTAGACTCAGTATAGCAGTGTAATGAATAATACTGACCCTAAGTTTACTGAGGACAAATTATGCGCAAAGCGTAGACATTATTACCCTGAATAACAGTGTTTGCCCTTAACCCTGAAAAGCTGCAGGCACTAAGGACCCAGAACCATAAAAAGTAGTGGGTCCTGATCAGAAAGTGTGGGCCATATATTTTAATATGGAAACAATACTCTTAGTTATTCTGGATGAAAAAGCTGTCGGCAATAAGGACCTGCAAAACACAAAAGCAGTGGATCTGAGTGGTTTTCAGTGGGCTTCGGGCATAAGGACCAATGTTAATTTCGAACGTTGTTGAATAACCCAAGCTGCCTGTGAGGCACTGGAAGTTAACAGTCATATGACCATCTTATCCAACCTGGTACCCATTCACTGCTGGTTGCACAGAGGCAATTCGCTCATACTCATCGCATTTACATTACCATTTGATTACAACTGCACAGCATCATGGCATACCACAACATGATTTTCAAATGATAT